CCAGAGCATAACATCATCATCCGTCTGCTCCGTGAACATGGCTTCACTGCTAACAACTCTCCTTCGACCTCCTCTGCTACCACCACCACCACCACCACCACCACGTCGTCACCAACATGGCCACCGAAGACTGGACCAGTCTGGCAAAGGTCGACCCGGAGCTAGAGCCGGTAGCTACATCCTGTACCTATCTTCCCGCACCGGCTCACACTGACGCCGCCTTTAGCTTCTCCCACTGCTGCCTCCAACGTCGGCGCTTGTTGGGGACATCGCAACCCTCCGCGCTGAGCTTACGGAGAGAAAGAAGGCTATGAATGCCGTCTTGGCTCCGGACAGCACTGGCCTTGACATCTCCGAAACCACCATCACAGCGTGTGATGACTACCAGATACCCGCCAGAATCTACAAACCAATCGACCCTCCAAGTCGTGGCAGCCCACTGGTCGTTTACCTTCATGGCGGTGGCTTCTGTTTGGGTGGTCTGGAGAATGAGGATCTCACCTGCCGCACTTTCGCCAAGAACCTGGGCTGTACGGTGCTCAACATTGCTTACCGCCTTGCGCTTGAACATCCCTTCCCGGCCGGTATCAATGACGCATGGAGGTCTGTGAAATGGGTAAGTATGCTGGGACTCTTGATTAGCCTCTCAGACCGACGGCCATAAATGTGATGACTAACATCGACATAAGGCTGCTGCCAATGCCTCTGAGCTCGGAGCAAATCCCTCCCAAGGTTTTGTTGTAGGTGGTACTTCGGCTGGTGGAAACATGGCTGCTGTCATTGGCACACTTGCTCGAGACAGTAAGCTATCTCCTCCGCTTACCGATCTTTGCCTGTTGATTCCTACCGTGACAAACATGCACGACCCACCTACCAAGTACAAAGACGACCTGAAATCTTTCGAGCAAAATCAAGACGCTCCGCTTTTGAACCAACAGTCAATGCATTTAATGATGGCCGTCCTTAAGCCTGACTGGTCTTCCCCGCTGTTTAACCTATACAGCGTGGTAAACCCAGTCAGTCGCAATGGTCTGCCACCAACTTATATCCAAGTATGCGGGCTGGATCCGCTCCGGGATGAGGGCCTCATGTTAGAGAAAGAGTTGAGAACTGAATGTAAGACTCCTACGAAGCTGCAAGTATATCCGGGCTTGCCACACAGCTTCTGGAGCTTTTTCCCACAACTCGAGGCAAGTAAGAAGTGGAAAATTGATACCATGGAAGGTATGAAGTGGCTGCTTAAAGTTGGGGACAAGCAGGGTAAATAGCGACTTGCTTTAATCCACCACGTTCGCCTACGAAATAGCAGGTCCTTGTTCAGTCCTATGGTTTAATAAACAATTCGAGCCCTCGGGTCCTCGTTTGCGCTTGTTCCTCTCTTCTACGTCTTAGCCAGTCTTTTCAGAGCCTGTATCAGCATGCCGCAAAAGCTCTCAAAAATTACCTGGTCTAGCCCTTGGACCCATCTTATCATAACTGCATCAGTCTTGATACTGACCATAAAACCAAGTGCCACATCATTACTCCTGGTGTCATTTTTGGCTGTCACATGCTCGAGCTGCTCTTCGGTTTCTTCCCGCTTCCTTTTCCTTCGGGCAGATCGTGACCAAACATTCTTCCGAGCGCGGCCAACTCCTAGTTGAAGCTCCTCGTTCCATTTCCATTCCAGATCCAATCCTATCAATGTGTTATTGATGGTGTCGATGGCTGATTTGACTGTTATTTCTGGTATTGGAACAGTGAAATTGGAAGGGAAAGGTAGAATATCCTTAGTGTTCATGTCTCTTCGAGCGACTTCCTAGTTCCAGTTTAGCATTTTCCTAGACACTTCTTAGCTGACAAGAAGCACGCTTACAGTTTGTGGTCTTATGTCGGACCAACTCCACCCAACAGCCCAACGTCTCGTCTTATGTTGTGCTCCTAAGCAGCAAACAGCCCAGTTCTTACAACCAAGCTTTTTCAACCTCTCAATCAACTTTGTGGCACTTGCAAGCTTGCCCAGCATCGATGTATACCACTGAACTCTGTCTTTCAGGATAAGGCTTTCTTCGAGAATTCTGAGCACAAACCCGATATCACCTCCATCGGTGACCATTTCCATTTCTTCCCCCGTGCATACCGAGTTTGGTGGCTTTTCTTTACCTTCACCGGAGATGGATGCTTTCCATTCTTTCACCGAGGCAAAGAATGGGGGGTTGCATATAGTAAAATCCAATCGCTCCAAGTTGAGGGCTTCAAGCGGAACCAAAGGATCGGATGGTGATGTTTGCAGCAGATTACAGTTAGCAGTGAACCCGTTGGCTTCGATGTTCTTTGTTGCGTATGACAAGCTGAATGCATCTATGTCTGTGGCTGACATGAACCACTCCGGGCGCTTGCACAAAGCGAGGAGGGTATAGATGCACGACGCACCCGTACCACTATAGAAATTCAACGATCGTCCACAAGAAGAGTTTTGAGCAACATACATATCTAGCCCTGAGACATGGCGCTTCGTGCCGAGTTCACCACGGGTGAACTCGTCGAAATAAGAAGGGTTCGTAGAGTCAACAAGGTCCTGGATCCATTGGACATAAAGGTATCTGTGCAATGTTAGAATTTTCCTTGTAAATAAAGCTAAACACGAAAAGGTGCCTGGGCTTCGTCGAGGCTCACGACACACTAGGGTTGGTGTTTAGGTTTGGAAGGAAAGCAATTCCATTCTTCGAGGCAACCCTCATTCTGAACAGTCATGCAACCTTGGAGCCATAACCGTCGCGATCAGTGCCTACCTGGATGGCTTTATTTCAGGTTAATATTGTCTGCTGTATGGATAGCAAAAATGTTCATGGGAACAACTCACGGGTGGACACAGCCGATTTTCAGGCAGCTCAACAATAATACCGAAGTCTCTTTTGAGTAGTGATGTTGTAAATTCTCTTATGTCGTTGTCAGTGTCTTGCTGATATTGGCTATCATGAATAATTCTACCGAACAGCGCAAGGGTCGTGAAAATCTACTTTACCATCGATGAAGCAAATGGTGTCAGCAGCATCAGGACTCTGTTCTGCACTAAGGTGGGAGTCAAGAAGTTTCGGATGTTCTCGGGTCGCCATGGTCTGTCTTGTGGTGTGTGTGTGGGTTGTTGGAGTGGGTCGGCATTCCTGGGTAATGGAGACCGGGCGGGACGTTTAGCGGGGCGGAGCAGATCGCGGCGGAACAGAGCGGAGCGGTGTAGCCGTGGCAGCGGGGATCTTGGCGTATAATTATTGAGGACAAAAGATATCTGATTGTTTATCTCGCTTTTACGAAAGACAACAATAACACATCCTATAAAAACGCCATACTTTTTGTCCTAGCCCCGAAAGCCTTGGTCCGTTGTCACATAGTTTAGTGGGCACAAGCATTCTTCATATTTTTTGTAAACATTCTGGACATCACCACCAACCAAACGCTCCGTCAAAGCCAACAATCCCCGGCTCTTCGCCTAGCCGAATTTTTTCATAGCTTGGGACTTTGTTTGGCTTATAGAAGCCCAAAAGTGCTTCCATGTCATCGTCATCCATTTCACATAACTCTTCAAGGCTCCAGCTCTCGCATACCTTGGACATCCTACCCATTGTCAGTATCTCATTCCCTTGTCGCAACTGGCCGCATAGGCTTACCATTGCATCCGCTTTGGTCCTTCTTCAGGACCCGGAGCGACTTTGCGTAACTTCCGTCTCAGTGAGCCGACCTTCTGGATAGCAGCCCCGATATTATCGGGGAGATTGGCTGCAATCTGCCTGCGCACAATGTTCGCTAGCTTAGGCCCATTGCCGTTCGTGCTAACCATGATCTGTAGCGGGCCATCTCTGTGTACACTGCCGAAATAGAAATCGCATTCCGGGGGGACATCGGCAATGTTTGCTGGTATTCTTTTCTCCTTGCAGAGCTTGTAAACCTGTGAAGAAGCCTCCGGGTCGTCGACCGCCGTTAGAACCATGTCTACGCCATCGAGGTCCGAGGGCTCGAATTTCCGGTCGACATAGTCGACCTGCTTGTTGGCGATACGGTAGGCAACTTCATCGTTAAGGCCGGAGGAAGGAGAGACGACGGTGACTTTGGCGTCGGCGTTCAAGACGTTCAGGATACGGCCGGCTGCAACCTAAGCTGATGGTCAATGTCAATACTGGAAGGACGAAGGCCCGCAGGTGATTGGCCGTGACGCACCTCGCCGCCGCCCACGACAAGCACTCTCTTGCCCCGGACCTGCCAGGCAAGAATGAGAGACCCTCCGCCCTGGACTGGAGGGTAATCTTCACCCATAGCTGTGATGTGGTTTGGCGCAAAGTCGAGAGTGTATTGGTTTTACGGCGCGCGGAGAAAGCATCCGCCCAGATTAACACCGAGGAAGGGTATGATGAGATCAGCACATGTCAAAGCCACTACGCAATGCGCTCGTGCCCCTTCCCCTTCCCGACCTCACCATACTCGATTCTGTGGATCTGCGGGACGAACGGCTGTGGTGCGCCACTGCGCCTCAATTACCCGTCTTTAGTCAGACCCCACGCAACCCTAGCAACAATGCCTCGCTGGTACCTTGCGCTCAACACTCGAACAATATGACCTCGCGCAGGTCGCTGGGCGGAGGACGGACGCTAGGCACTGCCAAAGCGCTATCGCTCACTGTTTCCCCTCGTCCACAGCAGCACCACCGCAATTCCAGCTTACTGTCGCCCTCCGAGAGCTCCGTGTCTCTGACCTCGCATTCCTCCCTTTCCCCCGCCTTCACCGTCGAACCGCAGGACTACAATGACCAGCACGGTTTTGAACGCAATCACACTGCGGCTTTCATAAACATCCGAAGAAAGCATGTTGATAAGACAAATCTAGAGATCAGTCGGCTAGAGAAACGCTTGACCAAGCTCACACAGCTTCTGGTTAATCCGCCACCTGAACCAAGCGCCGGGGCAGGCAGCTTGCTGTGGCCCTTATCTGGAGTAAAAGCTCAGCAACGAGCCTTAGAACAATCTATTATTGCTTGGGAGGATGATGCCAAAGTTTTGCAATGCCCGTTTTGTCAACAGGAGTTTTCCAGTTACTTTCGACGGCATCATTGTCGACTATGCGGGCGGGTTGTATGCGGTGATCCCAAGACTGTTTGCTCCTCTGAGGTTGGGTTAAGCGTTACAGCACGTAAGTAACCTGGTTACTATCAAGGGCACGCGCTAATTAACTCCAGCCACTAACAAAACGTTAGAAAAGTCAACGGGCCAATTAAACCTAGATATCCGGATGTGCCAGGACTGTAAGCACATACTATTTAGCAAGAGCGATTTTGCTCGCGAACTCGCTGATAGGCCTCGGGACCAACGCGCATACGAAAACCTTACCCAGTTTGAGCGGGGTATTCGATTACTATTACCTAGGTTTCATAAGTTGCTTGTAGCTTTACAGTATGTTGACTTATAATCTCCACTGATTCTAATGCTCTTAAACTAAACATAGCTACATCTAGAGATCCAGAGAATCCTCCAACGCCAGTGCAGCTTCAAGACGCGACCAAAGTCCGAAAACGGCTTATGGATGCCTTTACGCAGTTCAACACAGCAGCGCGCAGGATTCGTGACTTTCCGACGGATTCACCAACGCAGAAAAGACTTCAAAGAGCTGTCTATCAGCAGTCCTACAATTTCCTCAGCCTTCACATGCTACCGCTCAAAACTTTACCAAAGATTCTCAAGCATGCTTCCCCTAATGGCTCACAAGCAAAACCAAATGGGCGCTCCAACGGTGCTTTGGCAGCAATCAAATACAACGATATAGAAAGCAGCAGCGTTGCAAGCAGTAGCAGCGTGGTCACCGCCATGGAGGCCGAAGAGAAGGACCTGAGGGAGAGGCTCATAGTGCTGGAAGAACAGAAGTTCTTTGTTTCGGAAATGATCGCAGATGCCAACCGTCATCGTCGATTTGACGAGGTCAGCTCTCTTGCGCAGAACGTGGAGGACCTGAGCAAAGAGATCGACCAGATCAATGGCCAACTCGGGCAGCTAGATTTTGCGGCTGCCTACAACGGAGAGTTGGTAATGACTCCACCAGTCACTTGATATATGACAGTCATCATGGCGGCTGTAACAGTACAGGTCATGTCGCTTATCCTATACATTCGGGTCCATCTGTGCTTACGAGTGCTCCTTTGCTATCGGTCTGTTGCAGGCGCAGGTGTCTACTAGTCGTTTTTTTTTTTTTTTTTTTTTTTTTTTTTTATATATATATATACCTACAATCAGTAAATATTGTGAATTTTTCGGAGAAGCGCGCGCATTAGCGGGGCGTTATTAGGTTTATCGGTTGTTAAATAATAAACTAATTTTCTATCAAGTCTAAGTAAACAGGGTGATTCTTATATTTAATATTAGATAGTAATAGAGCTAATATTTATAGAGCTAAGAGAAAGAGGAGTAATATTCTTTACCTATACGCTATTAGCGAACCCTACTTATTAGAGTATATTATATAAGTCTTTTCGCGCTCTAATTAACGAATTTTATTAAATAGTAAGGTTTATTTATAGGTAAGGAATATTATAAAGTATTAAAAATCTATAAAGAAATATTTTCTATAGTAATTACTATTTTATATTTTTATTCTATTTTAATAGCTACTTACTAACTATATTTTCTATCTTTTTATTTATTACTTATTATATAATAAATCGAGTCTACTAAATCTATTTATTTAAAGTTTATAAGTTTCTACGGCTATTTACTGAGATACATATTTTTTATCGTATAATTTCTGAGATATACATCTTCGTAATATATTATAATATATCGAAATATATAGGAATATTTAAAAAAAAATGTATATCTTAGAGAGACTTTTTCGATATGTGTATCTTAGAAATACTATGTGTATCTCAGAAATAAATTTTAAAAATATGTATCTTAGAAATTATTTTTCTTAGGAATATCTTTAATTTTTTATGAATATATTTTACTTTTTTTTATAAGAATATATTTCGCTTTTTTAAGAGTATATTTTACTTTTCTTAAGAACATATTTCGCTTTTTTACGAATATGTTTTTAAGAATATATTTTTTAGGAAAGAATATATGTCGGTTTTTTTTTTTTTTTTTTTTTTTTTAGAATGTGTTTCGCTTCTTTTTAAGAATATATTTTTTAAGAATCTATTTCGATTTTTTAAGAATATTTTCTTAAAGAATATATTTTTTTAAGGAA